TCGAAGTGCTGCTTATAATCTGGACAAAACTGGTATGATCACACGATAGGTGCACCTATCAGACGATAGATCCGCGGTATGATCACACGATTGGTCTACGAGGCACGAGAGTTCCGCTAATATCCATTGCTCACCAAACATGTGCGGAATACGCGAACTGGTTCCTAACTTGTGCGTAGGCTATCCTGGCGGGCCTTAGAACTGATTCATGGCGTGTGTTCGATGAAGCAGCCCGTGCACGAGAGACAGCTCGCTCGATGCCGAAATCACACATTATATCGTGGACAGCGCAGAAGGTTTGCTTGCCGGACAAGCTGCCTTTCCCCACTCCTCTTTATTCCGCACGATGCATTGATTGATGCCCAAAATGGCGGTGTCTACCGTCCATCTGCGATTTTGACCTTAAGCGAGCGGCCTCCCCTGCTTTGGCTGTTCCCCTGAGCGCTACGTCTCGGAACAGGCTTCACACCGCCACCAGGAAATCGCTCGCACGAGTTAAGACACATTTTGCGTGCTCCATTCAAGGTTGGCAGAGGACTGTGCTTTCTGCACGCTGTGCTGAACGACGAAATGCAAGAGGGTCAACCTGTCAACAGTGCCTCGTGACTGACAGGGTTGGCGTCGCACGAGGCTGCTACATGGAGGAACAAAGCACAAACCCCTCGTCCCGGTTTTTTTTTTTTTTAAATCTTTGTTTTTGTAACGTTTCAGTGTATTCTTGGCTCTCATTGTGTGTCAACCGATTTTTCGTTTATTATTATTCTTATTCTTGAGGGCCTCAAAAAGACCTACAACAAGCATGGGAGTCCTGACAATCAAGTCTGTCTCAGAGATCACCTGTAAAAGCGAGGGCTATAAAGGAAGGATTAATGTTCAAGAGTACCAGGCTCAATTTATTATGCAAGATTTTGAGTAGGTTGAGCTCAGAAGCGGAGAGGTTTCTGCCAAAGCGAGCACGAAAAAGGCGCAGGACTGCACCGTGGTTCACCTGGGGTCCGAGTTTGGTCTTGGTGAGACCGAGACAATTTTAGGCTGCTGATTGGACGTGGTGCCGCAGCTTGCACGTAATCAACCAATGAGACATTTGTGACCCGTTCTTGAGGTCGCAATCGGGCCATATTTCAATGACAACGCCTCAGCAACAGGCAAATCGCGAGAGACGCCTCGCGGCCTCTGATGTTCTTCTTCATACAACTTCTTCATCTCCCAGTTTATGTCAGCTTTAGTATATGCAGTAGAATAGCTTGAGATTTGCAAACGAAGCGCGATCTGTCCACTTTTTCCACGTGAAATAGCAGAGGATCACAACATCAGTTTGCGTCCGATCCCACTTGGCCGCGGCGCTCGTTTTGCAGCATATAAGAAACATTACTCCGCCTGTCAAGTGACCACGTTTGGTGCTTTTTTAATTTTTTATTCACGTCTGCGAATGACGCATCATGGCAGACGAACCACGTTTCTAATTCGCGTTAGCAGACGAACTGTCTAAAAACGGTGTCTTTATTCTCTCCGCAAGAGGAAAATTATATTTCTCCCTGTTGCGGTGTGGAACATTTAACCCCTACTTAGCCACTGCTTGGTGTAAAGTACGAACCATTTTAGATATAAACATGGGACAGCAACCTGAAAGCCCCCAAATGAGGGCGAAAAAGCGGGTAGACGCTCAGCAAGGGGAAGAGTCCACATTATCAGCTGAGGTGTTGGCGTGGCCAAGGCGATCGACGCCCACAACCTCACCACAAAAATTGAAACAAACAAGACGTTTTGACGACTCCCTGGCTGCCTCCGGCCTCTAAGTCCTGGGAGCCATGGGTCGATATCGCGCTTCCTTTCTGTTCAAGGCAATAGCCCTGATAACGTCCTCGCAACCAGGAACCATGGGCAGTGTTGTACGGAACGCCGTGCTTGGAACGCCGTTCTGTACAACACTGCTCAGGGGTCCTGGTTACTAGGACGCTATCAGGGCTATTGCCTTGAACAGAAAGGGAGCGCTATATTGACCCATGGCTCCCAGGACTTTGAGGCCGGAAGCAGCCAGGGAGTCGTCAAGACGTCTTGTTTGTTTCAATTTTTGTGGTGAGATTATGGGTGTCGATCGCCTTGGACACGCCAACACCTCAGCTGATCATGTGGACTCTTCCCCTTGCTGAGCGTCTACCCGTCTTTTCGCCCGTATTTGGGGGCTTTCAGATTGCTGTCCCATGTTTATATCTAAAATGGTTTGTAGTGTACACCAAGTAGTGGCTAACTAGGTGTTAAATGTTCCACACCGCAAGAGGTAGAAATATAATTTTCCTCTCGCGGAGAGAATGAAGACACCGTTTGTGTGTGGAACGCGTTCCTTTTAGAAGGAACGAAGGAACGCCGCCGTTCCATTTTGCATCAATGGAACTGGAACGGGAACGCGTTACATTTTTAAGGGAACGGAAGAAGGAACGGCGTTTCTTTTTCTTCGTCCGGTGGTGTCATTTTTATTTTACTTATAAAAGGGGAATTAAAAAAAAGTATAGAAATGTTATATTTGCGAAGAAAAGTATCTCGTTAAGTTTCTTGTGTTACTTAGGGTTTATTTTGTGGGGTCCTCGCTTGGTAACAGTATGGTGCAGGAGAGCTAGTGAACATTGATTCTCTTTTCAGTGCCCGAGACAGGGGTACAAAAATCAAAACATTTGGTCGAAGGAAAAGACAGAAAAAGGGACGTCTCAAACTCAGCTACTTTCTTTGCTTCCCCGAATCCTCATAAACCAAGAAATCTAAGGCCGACTGCAGCCATCACTGAACTGCTACAAAAAAAAACAGATACACCGAAAAAACAGGTTACTAGACGTTAAACGCACCCTTGTATCCCAAACATTGGTCAGATGCACAAAAATGAACCTTTTTTCCCTCTCCTCTTCTGTCACCTTCAAACTGAACGAGTCGAACCTTCACGAAGACGGACTGGTAGTTTTCGAGACTGACCTTCAAAGAGCCCTACCTTCTTCTCCCCTTGCTCGTCTCGCTGACAGCAGCATCGAGAAGCAACTGTTGTTAAGTTCGAAAACGGGACTTTGTTAGATTGAAACGTGTGAGGTTGTTGCAAAACGTTCGTGTAATGTGGGGTAACAGTACATTTGACTCGTCTGCATAGCCCACCACAAACATTAATATAGTTAAAAGCTTAGATTTTTAACTTTTGACTAACAACAAATGAAAAATGAAACCCTGCTTCTGCTCGATTTCTTCTACTCGTGCCCCTCCATCAGGGAATTTAAATTCGTACGTTGCTATCTAAAGGAATCGATAAAAAAAAAAATTGGAAAAAAAAAACTTGGTTTGATCTAGCTAACTATTGTAAGTAGCAAAATACAAATGTAACGTATATGAGACGACACGTTCCATTTCTTAAACTGTAAGGAGAACGAGTTCCTTTCTCGCAGATGAAACTTGTAACGGAAACGCGTTCCAAAAATTAAGAGGAACGAGGAACGAGCTTCCGTTCCTCTTCTTGAGGCACGTGTACAACACTGCCCGTGGGACAGTGTACGGGCCCAGCGGAGAGTTTCCAGGATTACAGTTACGCGATGCCGCTAACACGGGCTCACCTTGGAGGCAGTCAAGGGCTGACAACTACGGCGAGGTTCTTGCACGCACGGCTGATGGAGCACGCGAAGCTGATTTTCCTAACGAGGATTCTGCAAGTACTAACTGGGAAGGAATTCCAAGGGTTTCTCTGGGACAGGGGTGGCACCGATACGGGTGCTGCAATGCTATCTGACACCCAAGTATGCAGGTGGTGCTACCCCCCCCCCCCCCCCCCTCCGTCGTGCAGGTTATGGTAGCCGAGATAGTGGAGCAAAAGTTTAGGGATCCGGAGCAATGGCGGCCGCAGAGGGCTCGACTGTACAACTGAATGAAGAATGGTAAACAGATGACTTAAGCCGTGGAGGAATACGCAGAAAAAGGCGAAACAAGGGCCGAGGACACGCCACTGTTACAATGGATTTGCAGAACTTCCCTGGAGCATGGAGAACAAACAAATATGGCAGGAACTGTACAAAGGACAACATAACTCGGACAGTCGATGCAGACCGGAAATTCATCTCTTTCTTCTGCAGGGGTTTTGGGGATCTCAGAACGCCGATCCTGATTAGCCCTGATTGAACGATATATTATACTCCGCGACAACTTTTCTTGGCAATGCAGTGGAAGGTACAGGCCCGCGTCCCCTCTCCCATTTTGAGTGTGCGCGGGCTCTCGTCCTCTCCCCGGAAATGGGGGAGGAGGAGAGCCTGCGTACACTCAAAATGGGAGAGGGGACGCGGGCCTCTACCTTCCACTGCATTGCCAAGAGAAGTTGTCGCGGAGTATAGGTAGAACTCAAGGCAGCTTGGCCTTTCAGGTCTACCCACTATTCCTCAATCAGAGCCTATCAGAGCTCGGCCTTCTGCCGTTACCACAACCCCTGCAAAAAAAGCAGACAAACTTGCGCTCCGCATACCGCCTTATTGCTCTGGGCATCGGGTCTTGTGCGTGTAGATATATACGAGTTGGGAGAGCGCATCGTTAGCAGTGAGTACAACTGGCTGAAGCTGGTGTTCAGCGAGGAAACTTAAAAAAAGGGCGGGAGGAATGTCACCAGCATCACCTCCGCCCTAACTCATCCAAAACGAGGTGGCAATGGTTGCGGAACTTTTTTGTGAGAAGGGGTGATAGGAGCGGCGCAGCAAGAAAACCGAAGTAGACAACTTAAATGGTCCCCAAGCGGTATTGGAGGAAATCCGGATTGGTCGCGGAAGTAGGAGCAGGTATGTCAAGCAGCCAGGTAGCCAACAGGAACCATCGCATTTGCTTCTGTAGTGGCATATGCCCACACAATCGCAAAAAATTGCTTCTATTTAGCTCTCTGACTATAATGTCAGTAGTACAAATCAAAATGTAATTTGTCAGCTGTTCCAGAACGTGCGGATTCACACGGGTCACCGATCCCAAGAATGGCAGTAAGAACAGTTGACTCTTACCTCTGCCGGTGTCTAAGTTAGCTCCAGTAGAGGTCCATGACAGCGTTACGGCAAGATTGCCAGAGCTCCGTGTGACGTTCTTAACTGCCAAGTCCCGAACACGGTCAGGGGCCAGGTCTCTGGCGTTGGCGGCTTTCTTCAGTTGGAAGGCACCGGCATAGGCTATCAGTCTTGTCACCGAGTCCACCAGCGGTGCTTTATCCTGAGGTGGCAGCATTTTGTGCGTCAAACTCCGAACACGCTGAGCGTCGATATTCTCTTATCATCGCTAATGACTGCAGATGATCCAATTTAGTCATCCTAAAACACTTAAGCTTGGAAAAGGCGGATTTGCCGAAAAACAAAAGAACGTAATTGAGAGATTTTGAACACGAGATTTTTAACTTTGGCCTGGATCAAAAACGCAGATGGCAATGGGCTGCACTCCTTGCCTTTTAGGATACTTAAAGAAAAAGTAAACACTTAACTAGAAAATACATTACTCCTACGAATTCCCAATGACCTTGGAGCCGATAAATTTTGCGCTGTTGGGACGGCTGGACAAGCGTAGCTTTCATTTGGGAGGGGTGGCTGCCGCCATCTATCGTCAAGGACAGCCTTCGAGACAGCGGACACTGCTGTTTGTGCTCTCTTGGCGATTCTAGTGTGTTGGTTAGTCGGTTACAGCCCAGCCCCCCCCCCCCCCCCCCCTCCCCAACCCTCAGCGAGCTCGAAAGCGCAACAATATGTAGAAAGCAATGCGTACTCGTTCTCTCAGCCGCGGTCTGTCCACATAGCTAGGGGAGGATTTGGTGCTTTAGGCACTCGGTCTAATGCAAATAAATGAAATGTCTTGTCATAAAAAAGTATTTGACGGAAGTGTCGCTTAATTTTGTTTTACTTTTCCTCATGAATGATGGCGATCACTTACGCGCGCACCTGTAAACTGGCCAAGCGCGCGATTATTTCGCTCTGCGCTTGCCCATGCAGTGTTTTTTTCTTCACGGCAAAGGTCCTGTAACTTTTCAGATCAAGTTTTTTTTTTCCAGGAGTGTTCAATCTATCTAAAACGTATTTTAAACAGACAAAAAATATGTATACCAGATTTCAGTGAACGACGTGAGGATTAAGTATCTTTTTGATCGCATGATAATTGCTGCGTAGAAGCCCAAGAGGTATTCATAACCAAAGGAAGAATAACTCGCCTGAGCCCACGCCTATTTTCTAATCTTCCTAGTCTCACCCAATGCCCCCAGCATCAAACAAATCAGGAGACGGCCGGTGCCTCGTCAAAAACACTTCCGGATTTTGGGGCTTTGTATCTCAAAGTTAGCGGCGTAGTACGTTCTCTTCTTTTCTTTTCTTTTTTTGTTGCAATAAAAAAATTAATAGTTTTCATTATGAATTCCAGCAAACATGCAACTGGCGCTACAAATTTTCTTTAGATGTATTTGTTCACTACGCTATGATATAAAAGAAGCGAGGAGGAGCCCAGCCTAGAGGGGTAAAGAACCAACATTTTTACACGCTGTCTCACACTCTAGAAAAAAAAATTGCACTGATGTTTTGTTTCTGGTTCTACTACGCCCTTTTCATGGTATCAAAATATTGAAAAAGTATTGATGTTGAGGTTGCAAGTGAACCTTTAGCGCACTGCAGACTGGGCAACAGGAAAGCAAGTTGTAGCGCCATTGTAAGCGTAACATACACAAGCTCCCTCACTCCGGCTTTCTTTAATAGGTCTCGTCAGTGATATTAGTGAGAATCCTGCCGCTTCATAATACACTCTAAAAAACGTTCAGCCTTTCCACTCTCGTGAAGGAGGAGGATGACCGGAGCTGTTCTCAATGCACTGCCGCAACACACACGCGCACGTTTCCCGTTTCTTCTCGTCCGACACGCCGCCGATCCTGGATACGTCTCCGGCGAACCAGTCCCATGAAGCGCGCGCGGCGCACGTGTCGCCAAACGGGTAATCCACGAACTCTCTCCGGAACCTCGTCGTCGCGCCCGGGAAGTGTTCAACCGGGGTGGAGTGCAGTCGTCGCCGGGCCTCGCGCTTGCGCTTGGCCTCCGTGGCACGATCGTCGTCCGCGGTGTTGGCCCGCCGGCGCCGTTTACATCGCTGGTTCTGCTCTCGGCGGAGGCTTTCCGGGTGAGCGATGTACTCTTCTTTGGCAAGGGAATCTGAAGAGCTCGACGCAGTGGAAGTCGAGGCGACAGCGGCTTGGCGGCGGTTGCGGCCCCATTCGCGCTGCTGCGTACGTCGCCGCTCCTTCCGCAGCCAGTCTTCTTTCCCCTAAAAGGCGCGCGGCCAACCCATCCTAAGTCCAAACTGAAACTGATAAGAGCGTAGGAAACAGCTCGCAAAACAGACGAGGTCGAAGAAACACACGTGACGAGCGCTGCGCTCGTTGCGTGTGGTTCTTTGTCGTCGTCTGTTTTTCGTGCTGACTCCTGCGATGAATTCCCACCAACGCCGCCCAGCTATCCATTCTTCTACGATGGCTGCCAACGCTGGAAAGGTTGCCGCCATCTACGAGCGATGGTGGCAAGCAGACTGGTTGTGTGCTTGCCGCCGTCGCGTATAGATGGCGATAGCTGTCCAAGTAGGTTTGTCTCGACAGGCGTTTGATAGCGGACACGATCCTGGGGAACCTAGCCCTTAACAGCACCGTTGTAAAAAAAAAAGGTACACCCTTCTATCCCATATAATGCACCCCAAAACGTCAGTTCGACGTACAGCGCACGATAAGTAGCTAAAGTACGTATGAAAAACCCCAGAAAGAAAACACTGAGATTTTGAAGTAGGGCCAAGAAAACCCCGATTTTTTTTGTGTGGTTAGTAGCACTTCCACTCGCTATTTTAATTAGTTGTACCACACGGCTATCAAGCCTCTCGTTAAAGTTAGTACCGTCAGATTGACGTCAGTGCGCTGTACGTGGAACTTAAGTTTTGGGGTGTCTTATTTGAAACAAATGGTTTAAGAATACACCCTTTTTCTTCTGAGAGCGTTGACGTATGAATAGTGGCAGGTTGATGTTTTTTTCCGGGTGCTTAGACTGCGTAGCCATTGAAGCGTGGTGATACCAACCAGCCTTCCCCCCGATTGCTCAACGTGTTATCGATTTTCATTTTAAACTTTATATGTTGACCTGGAAATCTTCGATGAATTTCGGTGTTCCGCCTTTAAGTCCACATTTCTTCTCTCGTTCTGAGGGCAATATCTTTGATACCGGAAAAAATTTTGGCTCCTTTCAAGCCCATCAGATTACAAAGGGGAAGTAGTTTTTGCGGATCTCACGTCTTGTCCCGGCTGAGAACGACGTGTCCTGCGTACACTACATTCGGCCGTCTGCCTGTCAGTGAAGACAATCATCTTTTTTTACCTTTTTTAGGCCGAGAGGCACCTGCTCTGCAAGAAAACTGCCTAAAAATGAGCTGCAGAATAGCTATGGCGCTAGATGAATGCGATGGTTTCGCTCGCACGTTGTCTTTGGTATGTAGAACTGTTTGTTTTCTGCATTCTCGAAACGCCAAAATGAGTCACGTTCTTCGGTAGTGCATATTTTCACCTGTTTTATAGTAACTGCATGGCAGTTCAGTGTTTCCAAGAAAAAACCGCATCATTAGTCGGACTACTCATCATGGAACGAGAGCGGTTATTAAAGGGATACTACAACGAAATTTCGGCGCTCATTTTTTGGTCTATATGTGTTCAAAGGAGCAGCATCACATCGAACATACCAATATCTTGTTTAAAAAAGTCACGAAAAGGAATTTTAAAATGGATTAAAAACGATTAGCAAAGAGCACCTGGTGGATGTCGCTAACGCCCCGTTTGTGATGCCAGTCTAGGAACCTTGACAGCTAGTGACGGAGGTTGTCTCGCCTCTGACCGCGACGAAAGAAAAGGGGCAGGAGGAACTCCCCTCTTCCCGAGAATGCCGTTTGTGTGTCGCAGAAGTCGCTATTGTCCCCCTACAAGATTACAGAAAATTAACCCGTCACTCAAAATTCGTACAAAAGCAGCCACCTCGGTGGCTGGAACGACTAGGCCATCCTCTCGACGTCAGCCTCGCCGTAGCTTTGCTCGTCCTAAGACTACCTACGTCACGGTTGCGTTGAATGTCACGTGGTCTCCGCTGGGCCTTCTCCCAGTGCTTGCCAGAGTGGGCCGTTTATAACGAAAAATACAGCCACCAAGCTCAAAGTACAAACGTGCGATTGCCATTTACGGATATTGTGGATCATATTCAACCTATTTTTGAACACGACGGGAATATTTCAAATTTCATTGAAGTATCCCTTTAAGCCCTGTCACGGTACAGCAGATGCTGATGAACAACGAGCGAGAGAGCGTTTCAGCATCCAATTTCATCGTAGTTGCAAAAACGCGCGAGACGACGTAGCCGCGCGGGCACGTTGGGCGACAACAATTAACAAAACGATTCTATCTTTTTTGCTTTTTTTTTTTTCGGAGCGCGATTTTGGATAAAGACAAGAGCAGTTTTACAAGTGGGAACGAGGCATCAAGCCACTGGTTCCATCACTGTTTTCGGCCGTGCATGCCGCCAGCGAGAACTACCGTGTGAGACAGTAACAGGATACACATTTCTAAATCAATCTCAGTGATATAGGAGGCATAGGCCTAATTTTCAAATCTTTCAACACATACGAGATCGACGCAGGCGTAACTTTAATTAACAGGAGGAGGCACGCTCTTGAGAGTTCTCACGCGCGCAAACGCGCTGAAGAACTCACGCTCGCGCAGAAGGATTGGAGATCTTATAAGGCATCGCGGCCGGGGCAACATAGCAAAATAAAGTGGCGAAGTCCGCAGAATATGTACACCTTTAAGGAACGAGAATTACAAAGGCCTACAGCCAGATAACTGTTTCCAGGACAGTTATCTGGCTGAAGACCAGGGGTCAGGACACCTGGACTTCCCCTCTGAATGCGTCTCTGCATGAAGCCATCGCGAGCGATGTTTGTAACTAGTATGAGCAAAGCCCTGATTTTCTAATTTGTTTTAAGGATGATGACAATCCTCACAATTACGAGTGCTTCGGACGTAAATGTGGGCGATCATTGTGCACTCTTAAGCGCTGGAAGCATTTGATTACACTATATTAGCCGGTTCGGTCTGTGGATGCCAATGTTGTCACCGTCGACACTAAAGTCCAGATCCGGTATTGTTTAAAATTATCGGTGGTTCATTC